AAGTTCAAGTTCACTTTTTCAACCAATTGTGTGCCACCGCATAGTAACCAGATCATAGGTGGACAATCACTTAGCCTGGAAGTACATAACTAAAATTTAAAACAGAAAATACTGTTTTATATATATATATGTGTATGTAAGTTATTGAAATTTCCACACGGATTTAATTGTGGAACGATGAGACGAGATGCACCACCTGGAATTTATTGTTAAACACTTAAACTCTTCAGCTTCAGTCAATCCGTGAGGTGGGTATACTGTATGTGAAATTGCATAATGAAAAAGAAACATTAAAACACACATGTAAGCTAATAAAAATAATTTAATACTTTAGCATTTTAATTATCCATACAAAGAAAGACCATCAAAAATAAAAAAACAAGGAACAAAAGGAAAGAAATTCAATGTAATCACAAAAGTGCATAATCCATGGGTTAAAAGTCAAACAACTAATTAAAATGGAGAAATGTAGTGCAAAACAAAAGAGTTTACTAGAACATACTGAACAGTGTTTAAAATAACAGACAATAAGTGGACAAGCAGAATTTTAGAAGCTTTTTAAGGGAAGAATTTGGAACCAATTCCAAAGATGAGACTACTGTATGTACAGCACATAAAATAACAAGGGGTTAAATTGTTTGCTTCACAGTAACTCAAAACATGATTATGACAGTTCTAAATATGAAAACATCACCTAAAAAAAATAAAAATCCAGACAACCCTTATCGGGTTCAGTTTATTTATCCTTTTTAGTGGGTATATTTATGTATTGAACTGCATGTACAGGTTCAGATTTAGGATTTCAACATTACCCATAATTTAATTTCAAATAGGATCACCATGAATCAGATAACCTTAAGAAAAAATAAAATAGTGGAGACCTCCGGAGAATTTGAATTCTTAGGAGAATATAAAATTATGATTTGGATCAGGACATGAAACTCCCCTTTAATGCATGAAAGGGTTGGAGTTTGGTCAGGCCACAGGAGAGTCTTGGTGACCAATCACCAGATATTCTCAAACCAATCACAGGCAATAAGCTTGCCAAGACTACTGGCTCGTGGGTTGAGGTCTGTGGGTGACTTATCCTACATATACCACATTATAAGTGGGCTACACTTATGGAGAACAGGATTGTTAATCTTCTCCGCACAATACAGAGGAGCAGTATTGCCAAGCATTGGACAGGAAGTGCGCAGGCTGACACCATGAACAGTTAACCCGGCAAAAGTTAACTTCCATGTTTTTGCATTTGAACGTTCTCTTGAGTTTTAGCGAGCCAGAATTGATCATTTTTCCTTTCCTCTTTAGACCATTACTGAAAGAACAAAACATTGTTAAATTTGTTCTGCCTTTAAGGTTAGTTTTTGTAGTTTATGCCTAAGAAAAAAAAACGGAATGAATAATTCTGAGTTACCCTTACAGCCATTTCACTTCCCAGGGAACTATAGCCAGGCCTTGCATTCTAAAATGTGCTGTTCGCATGCATGCTGATCAAGACCCAAGATATCAAACTAAGTTGAACTGAACTTGAATTACAAACAAGAAAATTAGTACCTTCAGTGTGCCAGGATTATCCAAACTGGTGACTGATGAAAGATGGGGAAAAAAAAACATTTTTTTTAAAAGTCCAAGAATACTGAAGAATTATATGCAGTTACTGATACAGTATATACTGTACCTAACGTACTGTATAGTTAGTCAAACAGAGCTGATCATATAACAGAACACACAGGAGTAAAAGGAAAAACAGAATTTTAATCATATGTCTGTTAGTCACAAAACCTATGAACAGGAAGACCAAATAAATTATTACAAAAGAGGATTATTAATATATAAATCTGGTGATGTGTTTTGCCCAACAGAGCAAATCCTTACAAATGTCATTACTTTCTCAAACAAAAAGAAAAACAGTAGTGAGAAATGCTAAACGTGCTGGACAGAGAACTACAAACCTCCTTTCAATATATTAGAAAATCTATTACCTTACAAGTAGTAAATGAACATTCAAAAAACAAGCGCCTTAGAGAAAGGTCAAAAGCTAGTCACCTTAGAAAATTCCTGGAAATGCTTGAAATATTCAAAAAACAGAACACTTTTTGTTTCAATCTTATCACTATTGCGTAAAAAAAGATTATGAAACACAAATATAGATGTATATTTTCATCCCTGACAAATATGAAAGCATGGGCTCTCCATGTACACAAGATGCACTGCACTATCCTCTTCCTGAAAAACACAGCCCAGTGTTTATGCAAAACCCCTCTGGCTCCTCGGTTAAGTGCATTCACTCTTTTCCTTTGTGTTTATAGGGTGCATATTTACTTCCCTTTTCCACTCTTTTGTTCACAGGTGCCCTTTAGGAAGGTACGGCAACCCAGGTCAGCCACATAGTCATTCTTAAACCTGGAGTTTGGAACTCTTTGCCTCTTCCTCTCTCCCTGAATCACGTCTGGTCCAGAGAAGGTATCCTGGAACCGCATACTGGATGCTGTGGACTGTAAGAAGATCAGGGGTTGAGATCAAAGGCCCCAATTAATAAACTGTGCTCACATCAATTGAACAAGAATCTGTGAAACATGCAACTGTTTCAGTACCATGGTACATGAACTGTAGAGTGAACATATCTTCAGTACCGTGGAGTAGAGACACTTCACTGTATGCCATGGTACTGAAGGCAGTGGCCAATCATAAGATACAGACAACTGAATTAAAATACCATTAAAATACTGTACAAACTAGGTTAACATTTTACATTTTTGTTAAACAACTTGAATGTGTACTCTTTTTTACCATATAGAAAAATGAAAGCATTAAATTACCTTATCATTTAAGATATATATAGTCTATCAATATAAAAATAATTAAATAGGTCACAGTGCCTGTTTGTAGTTTCTAAAGAAGCCGTTGTACTGTATGTTGTAAGTCCACTAATATCTGCAGAATTAAATCATGTGTGTACTACCTGTAGAAAGAAAGAATACAAAAGTGTATTGTTCACTTTTGCATTTTGCATCTAGTCAAAATAAGTTTTAGAAAAAATACTTTGTAATATACTGTATGAGGGCATTCGTGGTAAATGAAGCAATGCACCATCTTAGAATAGCAGATTGGATGTACTGCATCCCCAGATTTAAAACATTTCTCTTCTTTAAAATGAACAAACAATAGAGTAAATTAAAAGTTCTTAAGCTTGTAATATTGCTGATGTTAATCCTCTTGCAACAAAGTGCTCATACTTGTCATGTTTCCCAGTCTCTTCCATAAAACTAAACAGTACACTAGTAAGAACTATTGTGTTTAGTTTTCATCATTTGATTACAGAAAGGATTGTGAAGCTCTGGAAAGAATTCAAAGAAGAGAAAGCAACATTAATTACAGATCTTCCCATTTTAAGTTGTAAAGGTATTGAATTATGAAATTGATGAAGTACTGTAATTATTTGCTAAATAACCTTTGGCCGCATTAAATCAATCATTTGATCCTCATAAATAGGAAATTAAAAATCCCCAGTACTTGATGGCAGCTCTGTGTTTGCAAGAGGCTTCTTTCGCATACCTCATGGAAACAGTCCTCCACTGCTCAATTCGTAATCTGCAGTTAGATTTGTTGCATTTTGATTCGACGGTGTGACTTGTGTGTTTTGTGGATGGTTATGTGAATTTGTCAAATTTCAGTCAACCCATATCAGAGTTATTGAATTTTTTTCACAAATATCTACAATCTACAGTTGTTACTTTGGTGTTACAAAGCCTCGATGAAGGTGTGAAAGAACTGATCTGTTTTGTTTTAGAATGAACTAAAGTTATTCAAAGGAACTGTGAACGTTCTGTGGTGGTTTCTGGTTATATTTACCCCATTCTGGGCCCCTTCTGGTCCCCTCGATTGTATACTCCACTTAAACTTCAGCTGCTTTGAAATGTTTCCCAATGTGTGAACCTGATTTATTAGAAAATGGCTAAAATCAAAAACAGTAAATGATGCTTTTGGACTTATTTACATAATTTATTATTCTTACTATTACAGTAGTTACATAATTTATAATCTAAATGTCAAAGGACATATATCAGATTTTAGTGGGAAAATAATTTGTAAAATGCAATTTCTTTCCTTAGTTTGGGTCTGGAACTAAATCTTACTATGAAATATATTACCACTTAATTGTCCAGCCCATAAGTTATGGTGTGTCTTATTTTTATAAATACCCTCAAAAAGAACTTGCTTTAACAGCACCACGTCGCTGTCATATTATAATTTATTGCAGCACTTTGCAGGCAGGAACAAATTACCTGTGATATGAACCACATATTTCAAATGAAGGATTTTAAGTTCTCCCTCAAAGGAAATGTGGACCAGGCACCTTGTGACCTCTGAGTTTTACACGTTCAGTAATTCAAACCAAGCCTTAGACAATTTCTCTGTTTTAAGACCAAAAAGAATCTTTACAGTATATATTGGTCACTACTGAAAGTATATGTTGTAATATATATTTATAGTGGCCACCTCTGAAAGTAATACAAGCTTAACATCTGTGGCTCGTGTTGGAATCATGCTGCAAGTTCTGTGTTGTGGGAGTACAGCCCCTTCCTCTCACTGAGGCTGAACAAGCATACAGGTGCAATGGTCACTGACCCCTAAATGCACATCATCCCAGCTCATCCCACGAATGTCCAATGTGGCTCAAGTCTGTCAAGTTGATTATTCGGGGCACAACGGTCACATTCTCATCTCATAAGAAAGCCATTGTGATACAAGCCACATGTGATTCCATTGACTGATCTGTTGCATATCGCAATTAGCAGATAATTCTGCACATGTGTGTCACACTTGCTGAAGTACAGTACAGTATATACATAACCTCTCTAAAAATGACTTCGCTTCCCTTGTCCCCTAGATGAGCAACGCATATTGATTCATTTGCTGTATGTATTCTTTCTTTTCACCAAGACTGGCATTCAAAAGGTTAAATTTTTCAGCTTTATCAAATCAGCTTTATCAAAAATAAAGTAATTTAGTGCTTTTGCAACTTCAGAGTTCAGCTAAAACTGGATCCTCAACAGGAAGATTCTTTACAGTAGACTCTCGACATCTGCAAATTTAACGTTTGTGAATTTGCTTATTCGTGATTTGGGCTGGCCTAGGGCGTCTTAGATGAAAACAGAGCAGTGTGGGGTGAAACGGAGCTGAAGGCTGTTAAACACAACTTTCACATTAGTGGCACAAGAGACTAGAATCATGAGTCAGATCTTGCTAGTGAGTGGACCTCTCCCTGCCCCCTGCCCAAAAACACTACCCAGCACCCGCATCTTAACGTGGTCTTGTTTCCGTAACGACTGCTTCCATTTCTGTGTCACCAGCGTGGGGAATGACAGGCTAGAGACGACTTCACAGGCTCACTGACAAGTATTAATGTCCATTCCATTACAGTGCTAATCACAGAGGCTGGATTCATCTTGTTTATATTTACTGATTACTGTAAGGTAGTTGATCAAATTAACTTAAAGCCACTGCATTAGTACTTTAATTATCATGTAAGGGAGGGTTACTTATGTCTTTTAACCATACATATTGTATACAATGCTGTAGTACATTATGCAAAGGTATACGGTTGGACTTGCTTATATAGTATGTGAATCTGGCCATTCGTTATGGTTCACACTAAAATGTCGAAACCCTACTGGATTTTCTTTTCTGTCATATGTTATATTTTAGTTAAAAAAATGATTTGGACCAGTATGTCTTTTCATTTTATCTAAGTCAGGATTTTGCTTTTTTTTTCTTTTTGGACTGCAGTTCATCATCTTTCAATTTCTTCAGTAGATCTTCAGCTGTAAAATTTCTAACAATTGCAGCTGTCTCTGTGCTATCGAACAAAGATTCCTGAACTTTTTACATTTCCTTTTCCTCTGGAAGATTTCCATCTCCTCCATCTCCTCCTGTGAAGAATGTTTATTTCATAATGAATTCCATATTTTTTATTTAGCAAAAAAGAACACAATTAAAGGCAATGGCGGATCCCCTGTAATTATTACACTTGCCCTTGCAATAAGCTATTTTAAGATGCCAGGAAAGATGCATGAAAGACAGACTGATTACAGCACTTTCCAGCACAAGGATTATGACCCAAAACCTGTACAACTGCCAGGAAAGAGATATATGATTTGTTAGTCTATTCCAAAACATTTTAGAGCTCTTAAAATCCTAGAATCATTTTTCTCAATTTGCTTATTTACTAAACACACTTTAATGTTAATCCTTTTGACAGTTATGTTAATAACGGTTTTCCTTGGACAAAATTAAACATTCTTTATATTATAGTTTACTTTTTGAAAGGAGTTTTGAGATCATATTTTACAACTTTTGATCGGTGAAAACCACAGCATGTTCTAAAGTCGAAAAAAAAACCCAATGTTTTTTAAATAAAAAGTTCAGGTTTTCTAAAACGTGGATCCTTTCGAATAAAAAGAAGAATCATGTTATTTCTCGCCAAAAGCTGTTGTGAGAACAATTTTAATCCTTTTATATTATGTTAATCTATTTGTGTGCTTCAGGACTTATTTTGTGAGCTCTCCTTAACTTAGCTGGTCAGCTGGCTTTCTCTCAGTTATACCCTGGTAATGTTGGTATTGTACTGTATGTCACAAAATGTTCCTTTTCTTCATGTTCTGATATCTATCAAAAACATTCTCTGAAAACTATATTTTTTATATATATATATTACTGGTGTGATGTACTTAAGGTACCAAGTAAACTCATAATTGTTTCTCATCCACTTTGAAAAGAACTGTTCTTTTTTTAAAAAAAAACATATTCCACCAAGACAGGGATATTGCAGACATTAGCTGTTTTTGAAAAATGGCATATGTCAAAGGGGCAATGCAATATTATTTCACTGGTAGGAACTGCTTACGAGAAACATTCATTTCTGCAATAAACACCGCAAAGTGGAGAGATTTCAATTTTGCTGGGATTAAAGCATCACAGATAATCAGTCAAAACTTTTATTGGATGGGTATGTTATTTTGTAAAATGCTATCTTAACAGCTGTTATAAATCATGCAGTCTTTCTCGGAGAAAGATACAAAGAAGTGCCACTATGCTTACATGATTTCCTTACAAACAAAAACAGACAATTTCTAAATCTCAAACAATTATTGTAACCATTAAGAAGACTCTAAGATGGTGATGATCAAGGCTAGTGGCAGAACAGGTTTCAGGAATTTAGCAGGCTTACACAGAGAACTGAAAACAATTTAACATCTTAAATGAACTAATCATCACATTAGTCATTTATGAAAACTGTGACAAAATGCCTTGCTACAAAATGGCCAATGAGTGAAACTAAATTAAATATCAGATGCAGAGTATAAAAAGAGTAGCAAAATATTTTTCACTTTGCTTTTTCTTTCTTTTTAAACTCATTTATTTTTAAATAAACAGGACAAATCCACTAAAGGGACATTCTACTATTTATAATAGTAACATGGTTCCTGGGTAGGGACATAGAAACATAAATAAAAAAGAAGCCTTAAGAAGTTCTGTGCTTGGATGAACAGATTAGATCTGACAGCTTAAGTTGGTGGGTGAAAAAAAAAAATCTATAAAATGCTTGCCCTTCGACATTTAATCAAAAGAATACAGGCCCTTAATGAACCTGAAAAGCAAACAAATAAATGTATACTTCCATGTTTGACCCAGCTATGTACAGCAGGATCTTATTCAGGATTGTGGATTCTGTAAAAATGGTGATCCACAAAGTTCTATACAGTAACATGTCAAGGTAAAAATCTAATTTGTAAGGTGCATCTAGCTAAGGTGTAAGAACAGCTATAAAATGGAACTGATCTCATATAATGAAGTGACACAAGATACTCCAACGTATTTAAATTTCTGAAATTTCCTTGAGGTGAATGTGTCCCCAATACTAATGATTACTTGAAATCACTGGGGTGAATACAAAGTAAGATTTCTTTTCTGATATTTTGTTCTAAGTTCATGCATGGAATTATCCAAAAATGAATGTACTTTATAGAATATTCCACTTCTCTTTCATATCACTCTCACTATCATTATGCTTGGCTGCAAAGTATAAGTAACAACTTTGACTTTGCTGTCAGAATAATTTTGGAGGGCACTGTACAGTATGTATATACAGGTTTAGACTAGAGGCATGACTGGATATACAACGAATATAGTGCAACTTGTAATAGCAATGTACAGTAATGTGTAATAGCAATGCCACGGAATGTAAAGATTTAGTATTTTCTGATATTTCACAAGGTGAAAAATGTACTTTGTTTTCTTTCGCAAAGCAGTAAATCTCTCAAAACATAGAAATATCATTGGGTGTAAAAATATATCCATATGATAACAATTCAAAAATTAAAACAGATGTCCAGTAATTGATTTCAGAAAGACTATACTATGATTTCCAGGAAAAGGCTGCCTTTAGATAAACTGTTCAGAGAAGTTCTGTATGAAATAAATATGATGCCTTATCGGCTCTCCAAGGAAACTATGAAATATTCCTCATACTACAGTGTGTGCACAAAATAATTTGCTTTCCACCTTAATTTTCTAATAAGCACAATGCATTTTTTACCACTGAAGTTACTTACAAGGCGTCCTTTTACTTTTTTGGGAAGTTCCTCATCAAGAGTGTACACGTCTTCCCGTTTTGCTAAAACCTGTGAGCCATCTTCAAATTCGACCTGTAAGAAACAAAACAGAGCTAAAGGCCAAAGTGTGAAAGAAGCTCCACCTGAGAGTGAGATGTTCCAATGTGAAATAAGTAACGTAATACACTCATCAGAATCACTTCCATTTTTAGTGAGGGTGCTAGCTATCATGCTGAACCTTCTGAATAAGATAGATAGATACTTTATTGATCCCGTGAGGGAAATTGCAGTGCAACAGCAGCTTAACACACACAACACAGCCAAATTTAGCCAAAATACACATTTAGAATAACAATCTAAATGTGTATTTCCAAAAACATGCAACATCAAAATTTAAAAAAGGCATTATTATTATTACCACATTTCAGTTAGAAACAGCATGTAAGTTGGGAAAGGAAGCACTTGGTAAATGTGTACCCAACACTTCTCTTGCATCTGCTTTTCGTATAGTTTTTTTTATTTTAATAGGGGATAAAACATTTTAATGTGCACCTCTGTGGAAATTACATCACACATGGTAGACTTGTCATTTCCTTCTTAGTGCTTTAAATAATTTGCAGTATCTGTTTGACTTAAGGTATTATAAAGCACTGAGGGTGTTTCAACAGTGTATTTTTATGAGGACTGAACATTCCTGATGCCAGATAAGAGCGGAAGCAGTGAAGGAGGCTCACAGGGAGAGAGGAGACTAGAAGTCGTAATCGCTTGTGTCACCAGAGGGCCTAGTATTTGAATATCACTGGCTGCACCATTAGCAGGGTACAGTAGGGTGGCAATACGTCTGTCTGTTGAAAGCTATGTCATGACATAAAGATCTATGTTAGAAAATATAACATAAAGCAATTAATTTATATTCTAAGAACTTTCTGAAACTGACTAAGACTTTAATTGTACCCTGGATATACAGTAGGTGTACAAAGAGAGTACCGCATCCTTTGATCGAAACTGTATATTTGGTAATTAATCATAGAACATCCTAGAAACTAGTGAGCAGTTATAATAAAATCCAGTGTGCTTCGAGCCATTATCAACACCATCCCTAGGTTTAAGTTTACCATAAGGATATACAGCATTCAGTGGCTAGTATTGTACTGTATATTGATGATGAAGGGGATTTTTTGTGTAAAACACAATTAGCAGCACTCCACAAGTCTGAAGCTGTTTGTTTTGCAGTGATTAGTCTGTGTTTCCAATGAAAGGCATGCCACTTTTTGCCAATAGCATGCCGTGTCCTGTCCCCATACGTTTCAAAGATACTTGGCGATGCTGTTTTACTTCATCTTAAGGTATTCTAATATTTATCAAGGTAGAGAACATTACATGTTCTGCCAGCGACATACATTGTAAATTTTATTGTGGGTTTTTCTGTTAGAAATTAAATTGTTTTTAAAAGCATTTTATGGACCTATCTATTTAAGAACATATACAGTATGTGCAACAGATCTATTTTCAATTACTCTGACTAACACAAAAGAATAACAAAACAAGAGAAATGGACCGATACTCTTGAACACTGAGCATTGACAAATCTAAGTATTGTACTTAGCTTCTTTGAGTTTATTAACACAATTCAGATGTCCCAGTCTTCTACATGTGTAGAAGTCTTTTAGTCAGTCAGCAGTCGCTTTAGGCTGCACATCCACTGAGGAGGACTTGTCTACTGCAATACTCCCCAATCATTAAGTTCGTATGACACAGTGGCCTTTCGCTTGTCAGCTCTGAATTGACTTCCATCTCCTTTCATTGTACTGGCTACCTACTCAGTCTGGAGACAAAATTAAAGGCTCTGCTTCTGCCTTATAAAATTATAAATAGCTTGGCAACTGCATACAGTGAATAGCTACCAGCACCTTGTACTCCACCTTTTTCACTAGAGCAAAATGATTCTTTTTTCCTTTAGCTTCCCTATGTTGGAATGGATCATACTGCCAAGAGGGCTTTTAGCCTCCAGGGACTGTAACTTTGGAACTTATTTCCTTGATACTTTCTTTTTTCTAAACTCTGCACGTAAAATATTTTCCTCAGAAAATAGACTTTTTCTATCTTCTGTTTTTCATTGTTTCAGCACAGTATTATAATGACAGTATCATGTAAATTTTGTTTATATTATACTGTATGATAGCATCTTACATTTGGTTTAAAAACAGATGCATCTGCAGAACAAAAAGACATAGCTAATGCCGTAAGCAGCTGAAATAGGAACCCCCAGTTAAATTAATTGACTCTTCCAGTTGACTTGAGACACAATGCGTGAGATCCTTCCAGAACAATCCTTTGACTTAAATCCCAGAGAGACCTGGGAAAATCGGTGAAAGGTGCAGTTCAGTCCCTTGCAAACTAATCCCCATCTCCTAGGGACTTGGGCTGTTAATATTGTAAAACTTTCCGAGACACATCACTCCCTGTTCAAGCTGTTCGTGCTTGCTCAGGGAGACCCAGCACTTTTATTTTCTTGGGGATTTGTTTAAGTCTCTGTTTTTGTTATGCTGAAAAAAAGTAATTTAAAGTGTTCTCATGCGTCCATCTCAATCTGTTTCTGCATAGCAAATGTTTCCGAACAGAAACATAACCGATCATTTGAATTTTTGATCAATTAGCACTGGTAGCAGATGTTTCAATTTGCGCAAGCTAGCTCAAGTTGAGTCTGTCATTGTGAAATGTGCAGATTCTTAATCCATTTTTGTGGTTCAGGTTGAAAGCAGAACATTTTCTGAAAAATGAACAACAACTAAAATAATTGACTCAACTTGTCATAAATCAATGCTTTTTTTAAACACAAAGCATGCATTTCACAAACAATGCATTCACTATTATATAAAACAGACATTAGGGAAAATAATCCATCTATGCTAACAAAGCAGAGATAGCCTTATCTAAGCTTATCTTAATGTATTATCTAAGTAAAGCAACTGTGGTATCTAAAAAGAACATTTCAGCTATTTTTCTCAGATTCACTTTAATATGTTAGGATGTCAATTTTTTTATTTCTGTAGAATTATCTTCATTTTTCTCTTCAAATGATACATGATGATACTGTACATGTTACTATGTAATTTCAATGAGAAAAACCTCAGCCTATTTTTTTCAATTGATATTTCAACTGTTCCTGACATTCATACAGTACATTCTTCTGCATACAACCGAAAATACAACATTTACGTGTACCACCACCATTTCACTCAGCCAAATCATCCAAATTCATGCAAGATTTTGTCTTTTATGTATTTTGATTAGCAATTCATGAGAGTAATATGTACAGTACAGTATATACTGTAGCTATAACACAGATATTCTGTTACATTCAAGAGAGCTATATACAGTACTGTATACTGTATATTCAAGATAGTAATATACTGTATGTATATATACAGTATACAGTATATAACAACTGCTTTGGATAAAGCTTGATTTTAATATTGCAACAGGAAGAAACTGAATGTTTACTAAACTAAAACTACTACTACTGTGCAAATTCCCCAGACAAACTAATGTATAATTATGCTTTTTCTCAGATTGTAATTCAAAACCAGAAACATTTCTCTATTGTGCAGGTGGCTCTGGTTTGGAAACCATGTGAAAAAGTGTAGGCTGCATCACCCACTTATATAAAATGCAAATGTAAAATTGGAGTACTTACAATGCTTATCATAAATTGGAGTACTTACAATGCTTATCATGCTCACTTATAACATCTAAAGAAGGACTTAGGAAATCCCTTCCTAAATTAGATTAATTTGGAGTAGTTTGATCAAGACTGTATATGACTCTTAATTAACCTCAGTGATTTCCAAAATGAAAGAACACTTAAATACCCAATCAACTCGTCTTAATATGAGAAAACCTGCTGCAAGACCAGGGCTCACATGGGAAATGGGTCTACTCTGGTGATACAGTATTTCTGTTTTGTTAAGTAACACTTTGTTGGTGTGTTAGTGGGACCAGCGGTCTGTGTAGGTCCTAATGACGCGGTATTGTGACAGGGACACTTTACTGTAGTGGGCGCCATCTTTCGGAAGAGACGTTAAACCGAGGTCCCGACTCTCCATGGTCATTAAAAATCCCCGGGCATTTCTCGATAAGAGTAGGGAGTTATCCCAGTGTCCGGGCCAGATTTCCCCCACTCGGCCTTAACCATGGCCTCCAAATTGTCCCCATGTATGATTGGCTTGCACTCGCCCTGAGATGGACTGGCGTCCCGTCCAAGGTGTACCCTGCCTTGCGCTCGTTGCTTGCCTGGTAGGCTCCGGCTTCCCGTGACACCGTATGGCCTAAAGGGGTTTGGCAAATGACAACACATGACACGACACTTGGTAGGGACTGTGGTGACATCTGAACTTCCCTGAACTTGGATTTTTCTGAAATAAACTTTATTACACCCCAGTATTAAAAGCAATGATGAAGAAAATATAATCAATGACAGTTTTGTGTTTATGTTTTGACAATAGAGCATAGGACTAAAACAAGTATAGTAAATCAGGGAAAATACCAGAGTACTCAGAGCAACTGATATGGGAAAGTTGGTTTAGAAATCTGTTGTTGTACTATATTTGCACTTAAAAAGACTGTTCAATTCTTCAGTGTTTTTCACAATACATATTTTCACAGTGTGGCTTGGTGGTAAGCACTGTTGCCTCACAGCTTTTCTGTGCTGGGTTGGACTGTGATTTAGGGTGTCTTCTGTGTGGATGTTATATGTTTTCTCCTTGTTGGTGTCAGTTTTCTCCAAGTGCTCCGGTTTCCTCCCAACTCCCAAAGTCAAGCTGGCAGGACTAATTGGTCTCTCTAAATTTTGCTTGTGTATGCTGTACAGTATGTGTGTGTGCACATACCCTGTGATAGACTGGCAGTGCCCATCTTATGTTTAAAGGATAGGCTTTAGGCTGCTGTAACCTTTACCAGAAATATCTTTCTGTTAATGGATGGGTGTTTTCACACTTAATAATACATTTATTTATGACAGAATGTTCTAAATAGCATCTGAGCAAAATGTAATATAAAGATAATGTTAATAACAGCCAAAAGGAAGGGCTTATGAACCCTAATGCCGAAATAAAGACTCTGTAAGCCTAGGGGCTAAACAGATACAGTAACTATACAATTTCCAGATTGCTCTCATCACACCATGTATGTGTGTTTCTGATTTATACAGTCTGTATTACATAAGGGTATGTGTTTCATACAGGACAGCTCTTATTGGAAGAGCTGTCCTGTATTGGCACAGGTGATTTGCATTTCATTACATAAACCATTTCATCCATTTGTTTGTCATTTAAAAAGTCTGTATTGTGTCTAACTCTCTAGTTTGAAACAGGTCACTTGCAGTGCAAAGACTTCCCACTGGCAACAAATCATGACACACATAAATCAGAAAGTACAAAATGCAATAAAGTCCAATCCTACCCTTGTAATCACATGAATAACAAGATTTTTGTTAAATACAATGAATTACGCCACAGCTATATAGAAGTAGTCCTTTGGATGTTTTGTGAATTGGGTTTATTGGGATTTTATGAGTAAAATCACACTGCTAAAAATACACAGGTTGGATTGAAATACTGGAAAATGGAATCAAATCAGATCAATATGATGAAAATTCACCCACCTGGAAACACTGGATTTGATTGGAAAAAAAGAATCATTGCAAAGAAAATTTTTGACCTTTTTTTGTGGGAAAAGAAATTCAGACAAAAAAATGTCCCTTTCTATGCGTTTCCAAATGTCTGAACTTATAAACAAGAGCCTCAAACAAACCGCAGCTTGATCTAACTGGAACAAAACAACTGGCTGGGCTAATCTGGGGAATCTGCTCTGGACCACAGTCTTTCATGTTCCCCAGTGCAAATCCCAAACTGTCAGTGCAAAAAATCACAGGCTGGCTGGAACTTTTAAATTATTTTTTTTAAATATGTGGATTTTAAATAATTTCTCAATAAGAAAAACAAAACTGTGACTGTGGTAGTGTTTAAAAAGTAGTAGTCTGTTTATTAAAAAACGATTCTGACACCTTAACATTTTATTACGTACTGTATATCATCCCTCACGGGATCAATAAAGTATCTATTTATCTATATAAAATTTTAAAGAAGTAGAAGATTTTAAAAAATGCAATATGCTTCTGAATCCCGAAGAGAGGAGCCATTACTGTAGATCGAGGTAAACTCTATATTAAGTTTAATATATTAAGACTATATTAAGTTTCCTGCAGTCTGGAACACTGTACCTCCTCCAAATAAGCTGATATGTACATATTATTACACATTCAACCTTATTGGCTTGCAGGTACAGTAGCATCTTGTCATGAACGATCCTGACAGACAACAGAGCCTACCATGTACAGCACACCATTCACCTCCATGGTTTCTTTACAGAAGCAGTCAATTTTTTGTTTTTGAAAAATCCAAGATGGTGACCAAACTCTGTAAGCTCCTTTCCATGAAGCCAGTTATATCAATCAGCTTAATGTCTGTGAACTTTCTTAAACTCTCTGGTGTCATTTTATTTAGTGCACATTTAGGAATCCTAAGTAACTTTAGCGATGACTCATATGTTAATCTTTCTAGGTCTGAGTGAGTGTCGGCTGCAAGACCAAATTCAATTTGGACAACCAATAATTTATCATTCTTAAAGATCTTTTCAGGACCTTCAGTCACAGCAGCTCAATTTTCACAACAGATCATCCCTAAGGAATTAAAGAGACGTTCTAACATGTTAGCAAACCCTTAGATATTGAAATGCAAACGGGTCAGTCCACTTACATAAATAAACTGATTTGCCTGATACAGTGCATTTTATTTCCTTTTGTCAGGTGGTGTAAATATCTAAAATGACATGCAAGACAGTGCTTTTCTTGATGTTCACTGTCACCCATGTACGAATTAGAGGAAGCTGCATACTGTAAGTGCCTGACTGACTTTTTGCAAACAAATCATTTGGAATACACAGAGGATTTTTTAAAATATTGTGAATAATTTAAAATAGCAATAATATTTTAATTAGAATTAATTACACAACAACAATAAGCTGAATGTGCACAAAAAAGCATTACAGAAAATGCTGATTGGCAAACCTTGTAATAGCTGTATCCTCTTTATCAAAATGTACTGTACTTGTGTAATCACATTTCCTTAAACATCACACTCAACCACCCACAGGATTCCCAGAAGGCAGTACAAATATTCTTTAAAGTCTTAAACGCAGGAGGGACAATCCAAGCAGAATTTTCCTCACTCCCACACCATGGATGCATAAATAATTAAAGAGGGGTTTTAATATTTGAAAATCTCATCCATCACTGTGAAGAGCAGTGTTGACTCTCAGCCACAACCACGTGTCTCCACTGTGCTCTTCAGCTACTCTCAGGGGAACATTTAACAGGGGATTTCTGGAAATAATGTCACTCCAGAGTGACTTCAGTAGTTTTTTTTTTAACTGGCAAAGCACATTTTAACATGATCATTTTGTTAAATCCCAGATTTCATACAATAATTTATATTTGCATCAAATTTGTTTGATTTATACATTAAAAAAACACCTACCTGTATGTCTTCCTTTATTTCTAGATTCTTCTGAATGTTGCAGTTTAATTGAACTGTCCAAACTGACCCGTAAAATATAACCGTATTCAAAGTGGAGCAGCCATTTTACCTTAGAATTTACTGAAGTCCAAGAATGCTAATTTTGCACAGTGTGTACTTAAATTGAGCATCATTGCCACAAAAATGTAACAATTATTCACAAAACAATATCTTCAAAAGATGAATTTGGTTAGCTTAAAACAGACACGTGCAACTAAAATTCAAAATAAATGCCAAGCCAATTTAGAGGGGCAAAGCTTACAGGAAAATATCAGCTTATGGAAAGCATACATTACTTACAGAATATTCCCATGCTTTGACATCCCCTTGGACATCAAATTCATACAGAATGCTCCATTTCACATAAGCTTTAATTTCAAACAATGTGTAATAATTGGGCATTTTTTTATCCCATGTTACCTCATGGTTTTTTCATACCCTTTGAAGTACAGTATTTTGCACATTGAGTGGCATACTGCATAACCAAAATATTGTATTTGAAACAGCACACCGTGACAGTGTGTATCCATAAGACAGTAGGAGAGCAATGAGATGTAAAGACTTGATTATGATACTGGGAAGAGTATACAGTACCTAAACATCTGCTCAGATTCAACATGTACTCGTGTAATCACGTCAGTTTCTTCCACATAATGACAGCGAGTGAAAAGGCAACGCTCACCTGATACATGTAAGACGTATTAGATCCCAGATACTTGGCTCCATAAAACAGCCCATCTGGCCATTTGACCTGTACAGCTTCACCAATCTCAGGAGGGCCGAGCCTCACACAGTCTCTGCTCTGGGGACACAGACAGAGGAAACGGAAACAGCACAGTGAAAACCACTCACAAACCGACCCAGCAGGACAGCCACACTGGCTCAGCTGCAAGCTGGCGTCTTGATTCACCACATGAAAAAAATCAGATTGGCCCTAGAGGTCATTGAAACTCGGTGCGCTGGATGTGACAGCTTCGCTTTCTTCTGGTTTCCCAGCTTCTTTTGTTAGAAGTGCTTTGTTTTTCTTTTTAAAAATCAATCAGAACCTTCGAGAAAAAATGAAGAAAATAATAAAAGCAACAGGGCCTAGAAACAAAATAGTATTCTTCAACTGCGCTAAACCATACAGGACGAACGTGAGTCACTTTACACCTCCTAAAAATACAGCACATACTTAACTGATTATTTTACACTGTTTGGAGAACCAGTGCTGCCTAGTCTTCCAAAGGGAACATGTCAAAATCTCCAGTCACCTGTCAATTTGATTGCACCCTATTAGGATGGTCCTTATTGTGCAATAAATACTTTAATCATTCTTTCCATCACTTAATAAGGACATGCTTCCCTTTAAATGTCAAAATCTTTCTGGGAAAAATCCTACAATCTGATCTTACCCAACATAGTAAAAAGGAATACATGCAGCTGCTGTCTGCAAAGAAATTCTGATTCTGGAATACCAGTATAACGTATCAAACAACTGTGATCCTTTTGGAAAAGACACTGCAGGGATACTTTGATCACACAAGACAGATGCTGCAAGCAGTTGTACTTGGTATTGTTTAATGCTCTCACAGCACTTACTATAGTTCTCCAGGACAGCCAAAGCAGACACCCCATATCATCCAGAAAATAGAGAGAAAACCATCCGCTTTTTGAAAACATTTTTGACTGTTGTTGCATTTTTATTTATGTTTCTGTGACAGTGTCAAGGATTTATTTATGTTACACTTGTTTGATGCAGAGATATATTTCTGAAATGCAACTGGCATCCTATTTTCAGACAATGCTCCACATTCATAATCATAATTGTTGTTTAATTGTGATTGTTTAATTAATTCCATGTGTTCCCAATTAAGTTATTTGAGCTTCATTAGAATTAATATTTCACACTATTAGACATACTGTAGTTCAGCTAACAGATGTCATCTTCCTTTGTACAGTGCAGATGCAGAACAAGACATATCAACCTGGGTTCTGGATTATGATGGTTTATTTAATTGGAAGAAAATAATATTTGATACATTATACAATAATATTATTTAATATAATGAGCAGAAAAGAGATAAATTAATTGCCCAATTACATTTCTTACACAACAGTTAAAGGTTTTGGCCATGGTGTTTATCATAAAAATTTATTTAAAATAATCCCTTTTATAACTTTAATGTCAGTCATTAGTGGGAAAGTTTGTCGACTGTACAGGCATGAATGCCACAGCAGCTTGAAAAGGAAACATGGTATACAAAGAAAATAATAGCAGCTACACGTACTGTATATCTTGTGACTTGCCATAGTAAAACTTTCAGTACTTTCATTCTTAAAAATAAGGTTTAATATAAATTTTAATCACATTATTTTAAGAAAAGCAGACATTTTCTGTGACAGGCATTAATCCTTTATCATTTACACTTGTCTGATACTGATAATTTTATAAAGATTGAATACAGACTAATTCTTTATGCAAATACAAATGAACACTCCTGCTTTAATTTAGGAATAATTTCTTCAAGACCCCTGGCCGATCACCACCCACAACACAGCGTGGTAGCTCTTCCTACATACTGACAGCTATTAAAGGGCCAAAGGCTTTAGAAGGCTACTACAGTATCTAGCCAATCACAGAAAATCTTGGTTTATACCTAGGGATAACACTTCAGATGGGATCTATCCAGGGTGCTGAACTGTAATTTTGAGTAGTTTGCATATATTGCATCTCTGCAACATGTCATTGTATTACTGCCAAAAAACTCCCAATGCCATTATGGAGCAATAGAGTTGTCTCATCAGTAATTCTGATATATGGTCTTCTCAGTCCTCTTAGTAATAGCAATTCAATGTCATCTCAATGTCTTCAGTTGCTGCATATACAGTATAGCCTCAACTAACAATTACTATCTTACTTTAAAGGTCCATCAAACACTTATCTGAATTTCAACAAGCACATATGGGACAAAATCTATTGTATATTGCACATTGCAAACATTATATGATAGATTTATATTAAATTATATATCATCAGTAAAACATGTTGTACTGTACAGCAGGTTAATGTCTGTCTACTGTCTGTAATTATTGTAAAATGGGGAAATGTATCGAAAACCTTCTGACAATCTACTCTCGATGTGTCCGTTACACTCGTTGTTTGTTAAAAGAACTCCAACAAGTGACTGTAGTTAAGAAAAACATGCCTTTTCTAGATCCATATTGTCTTTTCTCTAGGACTTTGTGTCTATATAAAGTAGGCAATTGTGTTTTTACATCAGATGAGCTTACCCCAGCATACAGTGCATCAGCAATGACATGACATTCTGTGCCGCTAATTACGCCTTTGTATTCATGGAATAAAATGAATACACATTTAAGGCATCCCCACTTTGTGTACAGTTTAGCTAATGTCATAATATTAGCTAAATTTGTTGCCAAGTTTATTACTAATTTATTTGACTGACACTTTCATCCAAACAGACTTACATTTGTGCCCAATTAAATAGCTTCGTATTTTACCATTTATTTATTATTCAAGTGAAGAACCTTGCTCAAGGGTAAATCAAATCCCCTTCTGAGCTTTGAATCTAGTCCTCCAGTAACAAAGTCAGAACCCCAACCACTGCTCTACACTGTTTTAAATTTGTATTTAAATGGATTGTCAAAGTTACACAGGCTGGATTAAGAACAAAAAACATTGCTGAAAAACTTTAGTTTTCCAAGTGTCTCAAGAATGTTCCCCTTTTCTTCCTTTAAGATGGGTTATCCAGTAGACACATTTGATATGCTGACATGAGAATTAAAAGAATTAAAAGAAATCAGTCATAGTTTCTCAAATATTACAAGTGATTTTTGGAAGAAGACCAGATTAAGCAAACCACCTTCAGTGGTACTTTGATGAACAGAGCTGCCCATGTTCATGATTAAAAATCAGCCGCCTCTCTGCATAAGCTCTTATCTGCACTGCTTGCACATAAGCCTGATAGGGCTTCAAGCCAGAGTGAAAGATAACAAAAAATAATTAGCTAACATTCAAATCTGAGTAGACTGAAATTTTCAGTTTAAAGACATACTGTAGATTGTGGTTCCTGTTTTAAGAAATGTTTATTTTCTGTTTATATATACAGTATTTTAATTTTAAATGTTATGCAAAATATTTGTGTTTATTCAGTTACAATTTTATTTCCTAACATTAGCACACTGTAACTTTGAGATAAGTATTGCAATCCCCACCCACAGTTTACAGCCTCAGAGCAAGTCCTTTTTTATAATCTTAAAACAGACAGGAATCATCAATAATTTACTTACACAGCTGTCAGAATTACTAACTGTACTCACTTGGAGGTTTTAGATTTAGAAGAAGTTTCAACCTGTTGGTGGGAAAATGATTGAATTGTTTGTCTACTTTTCTATGTGGGGGCAGAAACATTAGCAGATTATATTCTCTTAAATCATATAAAGAACAGATAAGGGTCAGCTCTGACATAAACCATTGCAAAGTCAATTGTGTTGTAAAGCAACACATATTTGGCTGCAGTGTGATGGGTTTATATTTTTATGTTGCTGTGAATTGCAGAACAGCAAGCCTGTAGCAAACATTAGACCTTATTGACCATGTTACAGCAGCTCACAAGTTTTTGAACTTGATGAGTGAGGACTATCATTACTTTTACAAACTGCACTGAAGTTCAGAGGTAAAATCAAAAGAAGTAAAAAAGTACATCTAAACTCTGAAAAATAATCAAAATTCTATATTTCTGAACCCAAGGCATACAGTATATTAGGAATTACTACAGTCATTTTAGGTCAATTAATACTGTACCTAAAATAACCTACACTGAGGGGTGCTGTTTGCTTTAAATTGAGCATAGAGAGTGAGAGTCTGAAGTACTATACAGAGATTCAATTAATTAGGAAAAGTGCTGTCACTCATTCTATCTAAGAAGGTATAAATTGACAGATGAACTACAATCTTAAGTGATGGTATTTTTGGCTGGCCAAGGGTGAAGGGCGAGAAGGAGGGAAAAGGAGAAGTGAGATTAATGCAGATCCACTGTGGGTTTTGCAGACATTGCATTTTCAGCAGAGAGTGGAAAGGCATGAAGCAGAAATCGATAAGCATAAGGAGGGAAAGTATGCAAAACCTATTTGAACTAAAACCCGACAGTGCTTACACATGATGCAATACTAAAACTACATGACAACATTTCAAGGATTATACCTAACACCCTTCATTGGCCTAATAACACACTATAATGGGAAGTGTAGGAATTAAAGGGCATCACATAGGAGAGAAAACTCCAATGCAATGAAAACATTATGGAAAAAACTGAAATTCTACAATTAAAAAGAAGATCACCCAGTTTTGAACTAATACAGCAGAGGCAAGGTAAGGCTGACAGTGGTGTAGCCAGCTAGATGACTGTTATCAGGTCTTGTGGTGCATCCAAACTGACTTTCAGATTCCTAAAGACAATCTTGGGGAATTCTTGGGGAACCAATAGTCTGCAAGCTTTCGTTTCATCTGGCTTTTCTAGTTGTAGCACTTAATCTCCTAATGATTAAAATCACATTACTTATCAAAAGAAGACTGATTTCATTAATCATGTATTAGTTTCATGTAATATGTATCTACAAAAGGTAGACAGAAAATAACAAAAATTATTACTCACTCACAACATTAAATACCAGTTAACACAAAACCACCATATGTGTGCTGAGGAAACATATAATAAAATTAAAATATTCTTAATTAATACCACGCACTGAGCACCTGTCTGTTTTTTTTTTTTAATCACATGATGTGAGCTTAATATTTTGTCATCACAGGAAAGAAATATTCAAACAATCAAAAATCCTGTAAATAACTATCTACTGTATGTGCCCAACAATTTATTGAATTTTTATTGGGCATCAGTTTAGATCAAGATTTGTCTCTATGTGATTTTTTTCAAGGCTGTACTTTGTACATACATTCCTGACTAAATGTTATAAAAGCCATGCTTTAATCTGAAGCTCTATGATTAAATGCAGCTTTGTAATGACAAAATGTAATAAAGTGATGTATTTTATAACAACTATTTGTTGTTCACTTAAGAACAGTCAAGAATCCAGAAGCACAATCACCTACAGTGGTATATCATTCTCAGAATCCAAGGTATGTCTCAGAAGATTGTGATCAAAGGAAAAGTAAATTTGGTTTAACATGCTTTGCTTGGAAAGCCACGTGTTGTGCTGCTTTGCACGCTCATTCTATCAGTTAAGAAATGGAAATGAAAGCTAAATGGGAAATATGTTTTGATTTAAAAGCAAGGGAAATCAATTATTTCCTGGTTATGAGGTTAAAGTTCAAGCTTTCATCTCCTGTGGATTGATAATAAACATAAAGTTCGTTTTTATGCACAAGTCAATGAGATAAGGAGGAAAATAGTAAGACTTGCCAAACACCCTTTGAATAAAAAAACACCTTAAAGCCTTGCTACAGAACATTTATTTATACTGTAGCTGTAGAATAAATGAAGAAAACCAAAAACAGAGCAAATGGGGAATATACTTTGAGTCTGAATTATACAATCTGTGATAAAAGTAAAGGAATAGCACAGTTGAAGATACACTAAAAAATATGAATGTATACCAGGTCTACACCGAACAACCCAGATCTTGTCTAGGTCCAGATACTCTAATAAATCACAGACTGTAGTGAGTACTATACCTATATTTTACAAAATGGCAAAGTCAAATTGCCAACAAAAAGTTGGAAAAAAAATACCTATTGAACAAAAACCCCTTAGCTTCACATTTTCTTTCTGTTGCCCGTTAGATGAATTATAGCACAGGATGAAGCTTACCTGGCATTACAATTTGAGCTGGAGGCTGCCAATTTACAATGCCACTACCCAGTGCTAAACAAAAGACTGACAATATGATTCCTTTTGACAGGCTGTTTCTGAGAGTGCTTGCTCACAAGAATCTCTGCTTTTGCTCTGTGAAAAGCTAATCCAGGTGACTTTCAAAAGGCTCTTTTCTGCCATCTTATATTAATGTTTTCTCCGCCTCTGTTCGTGCATACATATTTGGCAGCAACAGCATAAAGGGTCAAGCCGAAGAGTGCAGCAGAGACAGAATAAAAAAAGAAAACAGAATGGGAGCAGAAAGCTCACCTCTGTTACAGAAGAGAAAAAACATCAGAAGTATGTTAGAACATATTTGTTAACCTTAAAATTCCTTAGCATTGTCACTTTGTGTTCATCAGCTTTCTCCCTCTTTACAAAGTCCATGGCAGCTATTCTATATCTGGAAAAAGAAAGCATCCTGATTTTGCTCATCAGCAAAAAGTGAAGGCTCTTCATGATGGTACTGTTTTAAACAGTATCATCTGTTCTTTTCTTATTGTTACTGTTCTTTTACAGTATCTGTAATGTGATTATTCATTAAATCTTAAGAGAGTGAACAGAAAATTTACATTCAGTGAACCCTTTCTTTTTATATTTTTTACTGCTTTGCCAGTTGACAACAACACATTCTCCAGAAAAGAGAACTCGCCTTAAACCTGAAGACCTCCCAACATTTTTTTAGATCTACTTGGACTCTCAGTTAATGGCTTCCTTGAAGGCAATTTCACTATTATTGATGATGGTAAAAAAATTTTGAAACAGATTTATATGAAACTCCAAGGGGAAAAGTACAGGGTAATACATCTCTACAAGGAGCAGGAGATAAGTGGAAGGGAGATGGGTTGTATGATAGGAAAAGGATGGGCATGAATATTGCTCAAAGACATTTCACTGGTTTGACTACTGAATCATTGATATCACTGTCAATACATCTACATGTACAGCAGTAAGACATATTACTGTATAAGAAGATAACTTTGTCTTTAAGATTAAACCAGAATCAAAAGTCTTTTGACTTTTGAACTTAAAGTACGTAATTTTACAGTTCTTGAGCGCAGGAATCTTCAGGAAGACGCAATGAAACATGAGAGAGGCCATGGGCAATGAGGAGGAAAACGCACATGCAAATTCTGAATTGCGTCTTGGAGAAGCTCTGGGCCTCGGCGGATGTTCTAGAAGCCTCAGGCATCTGAGAATTTTCTAAAAGCTTCAAGAATGACCGGCCTGATACCACAAATAAACATAACCGTGGACAAAGCAAAAGAGGTGTACTGTATATCAGGAAAAAAGTTATGAATACGGTATATATGACTATATATGAGTCCCAACATTATATGCAATCCATGTGCACCACTAAACATAAATTAGTTCAATGGCTCTATTTCGTGCAACACAACTCTGGCTTATAGAGATTAACTTACCACAATGTCTTCAGGAAACGTATCATTGCTAAAGGAGCCATCATCAAACATCACTTCATAAAACGTCTGGGAAGTGACCTCTGTGACTCGGGAGCTGTAGTATCTCAGGTTTTTGTGCTTTGTAATGACTGTCTGCCCAACTGATATGTCCTTTTTGGAAGATTTGCTCTTCTGGAAAAGGGAAAGCATACTGGCTGTAACTCGGCATTGAGAAAGTGATGGAATCAACACAAACGACCTGTGGTTCAGAGTGAAGAGTTAAACTAGTTATAGCTAATCATATTTAGCATGATGTACGGTATGTGTTTCCGGGAGTAAATACAGTCTTTAATATCTTAACATATCAAAATATAACATCACATATATATAATAGCACACACTTCAAAAGTAAACAGACATTGTTAGTTTAGGATAAACCATAGGAAATAGCTTCACTTCTACAAATACTGTATATAGTATATCAATTCCATCCATTGTGTAAATGCTTTATTTAATAAAGGGTCCCAAGGGAATCCCAGCCCATCCCAGCAAGCAGCAGGCACACAGCTGGATGCACCCTGGATGGGATGCTAATCCATAATAGGGCACACTCATATGAGGGACAATTTTATTTCATTTTGTTCAAGTACTGTAGATGTAGCTAAGTGTTCAATTTGTCACATTCAATTCACCTTTCATTTAGAATGTGCTACCACCTGGTGACATCGTCAGGAAACACAGATTTTACCGTAAACTTTATGTTATGGACACTAAGATCTACACATTCTTTCTGCCCAATCCGACATGGCAAGTTCTGTCCTCATAGAGGTCCTACAGTAACTGGATTTAAGTCATGGGTAGTCAAAGCTTCAGTCAAGCTGGACTGACAGCCTTTAGATTTAACTATTTTCCGAGCAACATCAGGGCGCATCCATAAAGACAGGTTTCTAACTTTGTTTTTCTCTTGACTCGGCTTACTGAGTCAATTTTACAGTGCATTCCGTGGAAATCATGACCCATGACAAAACATGGCTGACATGTATTATGCAAAGGCTGATGTACAGTACACGGCTTATGGTGACATAACTACTTCACTTCTTAGAAGAGTAGAATGGTGAGAAAGCCATTTAGTTGTTGTTTTTTTTCCTGTTAATAGGAGTTAATAAATAACAGCACTGTTAAAACCAAGGAAAGATAGAGAACATTTGTTTTTAACCTGTGAAACTGACACAGGCCACTGAAACTGTGAAAATATTTGGGAAGGAGTCTCTGCTTTCATGTATTGACACTGTGGGAGGCAGTGTCAGTGAGGCCTCTATGTGCAGCTCACACAGATTCAACTGTAACGGTGTGTCTTGGCATACAAAGTTTTAACTCATAAAAGTGAATAATAGGCTGGCAATCACTGAAAATATTTTAGGAATATTTTCTTTGTTGTTTAAATACCAATATTTTATGGTGTTTATTTACCCTTATAATTAATTTAAGAGAGATGTACTGAAACAGGCCTGTATTATGTCCGTACTATATTCAGCTTTAGAAATGTCTGCTTTAACAGTAAAAGCACGATGATGAGTGATGTGACAGAGCAGGAGGTGGTACAGGAAAGCATATCATATTGTACATGACGAGTCAACACAAAGTTAAAAACTTTCAGAAAATGAAGGGATGTCAAAACTAGGCAGAAGGGAAAATTCCAATTATATATTTTATATAGTATATTTATTTTAGAAAAAATAAATAATAAAATAAAGCTAAAATGTCGAACTTTATACAACAACCCATTAAATACCTTTATAGTTCAATATATTTAAAAATACATCCATTCTCATTTTGAGACTTTAAAACATTGAAACTCATTACAATTAAACTTCCAGTAGAATTCCTCCAGTTTCTTACATTTCATTCCTGGTCACATTGCCAAAGCACACATTGAGAAGCCATGATTTCTGATAACGGTTTCCATAGAAATAATGCGCTAAACAATCTGTTAACCTGGACATGGACAGGCTACGTTTTTTTGGCTCAGAATCAGTCTTAATTTTCATGCAACTGAGAAAATTGAAAAAGAAAAAAACAGCCAGCACCAGAAATTTTAGAAGATTGGATTATTTTAAAATGAAGTGAAAAAACATGTTCTTTTTGAAGGGACTTTGATACAACAGCTCGTGAGTGGACTTCTGTTGATCATGTTTTGTAGAGCACTCTGGGATCCCTAAGCAAGCAAGTCCCTGTATAAGCACAAACCTGTACTTAGATGTGTAGTGCTGTCAATAGACACCTCAAAGATATGTTAAAGTGTTGCTGCAATGGTTTAAAACTAAAGATACAATATTTTAGGAAGCACAACAACAGTTGATATTACTTACAGCTGCGGAGTTGCGGTTTTGGTGCCTGTGGCATGTGATGAACACTACATATGGCCAATCATCTGGCTCCATGGTCACTCCAGCTGCATGGGCACAAGTCACATGGAAGGACGTTGGACAGCGGCCACATGAGCACTGTATACAGGCCCCCGACACCTTCTTGATTCTCTTGCGGCAGTAGACACACTTCTGCAGTGGAAAACGAGAATGTAAAACAATTACAGTGCAAAACTACACATCCGTTAGAGCCACCTGAAAGCTCCTTTTCCTAAATGGATTAAAGTACTCATTGCTGGAAATAAAGAAAGGAAGCAAGAACAAATAGCATAAGGGGATTTTGCCATTTCTAATCTTTGGTTGAAGCAATTATTCATGATTATGACAGATGAATGCTGGCAATTGTTCTTCTGCAGGTTTCAAAGCCTGCAAATTTTATTTCTCTGACTAGATTTTTTTATCTTTTTAATGTTATTAATTTTAATATTAATATTTCAAAATGTTATCCAATGCATCTGATAAAAGGTATAAAATTAAAATATGTATGTAGGTAAAACAGTCATAAACAACTGCATGATTTCTGTTGTCTAGCTTGAATTTATTTAGTTGAGCTAAGTGTGCTGTAAGGTATCTGTTGATTTCCTTTAAGAAATATAATTACAAAAATACAAACAGTCCAAATAGCTGAAAGTAACACGTTTCATTTTGCAAATAAAATTGGGGAATATTTATAATTTTACAGAGGTCATCAATGTGATTAATTAAAAAAAGATAAATCTGGTTCTCATCAATCATTTACATGCTGTTTTAAATGATTGCTCCACTGTATACTGTAGTACATGCTTTTCAACTTAACGAGTAACAAACTAAATCAATTTAGCAGATTTTTGACAAAGATTCAAACATATCTGTATCTACAGTATACGTATCGGTTAGTCTGTAAGAAAAACATTATAAGACAGTAAGCTTGTATCTCATCTCCCATGTTAGAACTAGAAGATTAATATCTTCCTTAACTAGTGGCAACTACTTCATCACCCATAGCTCTAGGTAATACTGGTGTGCAAAGGTCTAAAAAGGTCTAAAAAGGAATCCACACATTACTACAAGCACTGAGGATAAGGGAATTTTTCAAGGAGATATTTTTTTTCAAAGAGATGCCAGCAAAACCTTGTATCAGATCCCATTACATAGCAACCTATCTCTAGCTGACTGAAACTAATCTCAGTTTCTTTCTAGTATGGCAGTGCACTTAATAGTCTTCCCAGTTACTGACAACAGGTATCTGGAATTGTGGTGAATTGTAACCCAATATCGTAAAAAGAAGCTATAGTGTATAATGGGGTTCTGCTTTACTACTAAAGTTTCAATTATATATGTTTGTTTTATACAGATAAATACACAAAATTGTTATAACATTAATCAAGTACTTGAAGACAGTGAATAAAAACGGTTATTTAAAAAGTGTCTGACAAAATATGCATTTAACATGTGTCTGCTGTGATGACATACTGTAGAGAAGTCAGAAGCTTTATCATTCTATAAGACTAAGAGTTTTTGTAAGCCATGGCAAAGCACATACAGTAGGTTGCATAGGAGCTCCCATGACCAGCATTGCCTGTTTATGAAGTTACACCTGAAATCACTTTAAATCTCTGTCAGGGAAAAATAACTGTAAAAACTCTACTGCAGAATCATCACAAGGAAATGAAAGAACATGGCACTCAACCCATAAAGGCATGTCTAACACAAATTTGGTTAAATATTTATAAAGGTTACGCAACACTAAGCCTTTCAACTAAAATATGCAATCTTAATAGCAGAGCAACACAATCAAAATATATATTTGTATATAAAAAGTTAATCTTAGTACATTGCCAAACAAAAGCTGTTATTCACCTGATGGATAGTAGCAAAAAGATACATTTTTTTTCTACAATATGTAAATCCAATACAGTAGTTTTATCTATTTATTTGTATTTGTATTTTGTTAAAACCGTCAAATAACATCAAACCTATATACTGTAATTGGCTTTGCAGAAGCTCATGGGATAAATCCTATGTGTATTTTCCCAACTTAAACCAAGATGTCAATGCTGTTTAGGGAAGACTAAAACAGGTTTGATGCAATGTTACAAAAATGAAAAGAACAAGGAAGAGTCAGTACAATTTTATTTCAAAACACTCGCTTTTTAAAACCAAAACTGCTTATTTTGTTTTTTTTAAGTCCCGATCTTGGCTTGCGCTTTAGCTCCCAATTATGAACTGCAGTATTCAGAGAAGTAATTTTACAATTACATTCAAAATCCTAGTTGGAAGCCATGTTTGGGAACATACAGTAGATATCGTTATATCATTGTTGATATATATTCAAAACAATTAATTAATACCCTGTGCAAAAATAGTAATTATTTCACAGTTGCTATAGCATTAAAAACTAGAAGCTTAATATTTACATGATAATCAGGGTATTCCTGACCTTAAGAATTTATTTTTAAAAATCTTTTAAGTTATTATATATATATGTGAATTGTAACTGTGTTTGTTTCTGGTCATAATTTTTCACATTATTGCAGAAGGGGTACTAACCAGACATGCTTTCCACTTCTATAAGAAGATTGCTGAATATTACAATCTGCTGCAGTTCACTTGAGAAAAGAGGGACATTAACACTGCAGTTAAAAACTTCAGATCACAAGCTAACTGATAGTAAAAAAAAAATTATATACTGAGTAAGAATGAACGATTAACCAGCATACTTTTTATATTTGAATCAACAAATTAAGTACCTAATCATAAATAGATACACTATGCCATAAGACAGAAGACAAACAGTCTATTTCTTTAGGAATTAATTATGTGCACAAATGGCAGCCGATATATTTCTGAAGCCCTGTGGACATCACTAGAGAGTAAATAATGGTTTTGGTGTTACATAAATAAAAATATTTCATAATAATCATCAACACAGGTACGTATATCATTATCATATATTAATTTTTTACATCTTTTTTGTCCTTTTCTTACTTTACATAGACTAAAGGAAATTCAAAGAAATTCCTTAATTCCTAAAGAAATTGTGATATTGACAAAAAGGGTAATTTAAAGTCAGCCACATTAAATTAGATGTAAACTAAACAATCTAAAACAAATTCCCCAGGGGTGTCTGATACCTCTTCCAGGTTTCATGTCAATACAGAAAATGGCTTTGGTGTACAAGAAACAGCACTCTTTATTAGGTCCTGCTGATCGGTCTTTAAATAAAGAGATCAGCACAAGCTAATTAATTGTGTGCATCCGTATTGACTAAAGGTTGAAGGCTTTATCCAAAGAACCGGCAATCCACTGAAGTCTTCAGACACATTCAACTCTGTTCAACATAATATAAAGCTTAGAATTAATTTGGGTTCAGGTTTCGTCTCTGAACATTTTTCATGAAAAATGGTTTAATGAACATCCACTAATTAGAATTTTTTAAAACATGTGGTTAAGTCTATCTATGGCACGAAACCTTATCTAAAAAAGTCTGAGTTAATTTCACCACAACATGGTTTCGCATTCATACTCTTCAGGGAATCTCACACTTGAAGAAAAATCTTGCATCAACGGTTACTAATAGTTCTTTCTATTGAACAATTCCAGAAACAGACTATTAGTAAGCGATCCTTACGGCAGAAAGGAAAATGAAATGAGACTAAATAACAACAACGTACTCTGTCCACCCACATAATCAAGCACCAGCTACAACAGTTTAGTTTGCATATACAGTACAAGATGCCCTTCCATTTCAATTGCAGTGCAGCTGTTTCTCTTTCGAACAGGCAGCAATACTGCTGTTGCAAATGTTTTTCGAACTGGAGTTCTAGAAATGTGAAGCACTGGCACTGTAAATAATATTTTCAGAGATATCTGATTGAAGAAACAAGTGAACATAGTACCAGAAGTTAAACAAAACGCATTTTATCCAACACACTTCCTCTGCGTTACTCAGAAGGAATCGTTTGAATGCCAACCAAGTGAAACGTATACAAAAACGTTTTGTGCAGTAATGACTGACATTTAATCTGTAAAATCTTCATCAGAATGGTCACAGGTAAAAGGCTATTCAGTGGATGTGGCTCTATATCTCTAGTGGTCCTAGCCAGTTTCGGACGCACTGGAATCAACCTTGCACAAAATCCCCTTATACAATTTAGAGTAAACAATAAACAATACAGGGAGGACATGAACGGTCCCAAACTGGCATGCTCTCCAGCCTAGAATTGAACCCACAACCCTGGAGCTGTATACCTCTCTGCTACCCAAACTATGCTCCAATATCAAAGCCAAATCTATAATATACCAAAATCTATAATAAACCTGACAATCAGTTGTTTTTATTTTGTCCCATTAGCGAAAGTCATTAAAATATAATTCATTTTCCATTTCATGCTATTTCTTTGGGTAAGTTACTAAACAACAAAATCTCCTTCAAACCTTTGGTAATTTGTATCCTAGGATTAAATGAATTCCAGTTACCTACTTTTCTTTATTTTGCACATTAAATGTACTTTAGACAGAAATACAAACACATATATGGCCTGTATCTACCTATATTATAAGTTTAGCAATGTAGATAAGATACAGTGCTCCAATAAAAGCCACAGTACATTCTTTCAGCATAATTGTAATATACTATATCACTGCCAAGGAATGGTCAGGGACAGATGCTATTTTTACAAAGAATAGAATAAAAAACCTACCAGGCAAGAGATTAAAAAAACTGCTAAAGAGAGGAATTCCACAGGTAGGACAAGGACTTTGCAAAACAATTACATTTTCTCTTAAATTGTATTCATTTAAAATATCACATGTACTGTAAATAATCAGTCCATTTGTTAAAAATGTAAATGAATGTGCATAACAATCCATTGTTTTAGGAATGCTATCTAGTTTTATATGTAAGCCATCCAATATTCACAATGCAATTTAATGCATTGTTATGTAGATACAGTATTACTATCCAATTATTACAGCATCACATTATGAAACTGGCAGCCCTGCTGAAGAGATACGAAGAGGGAGATTTAAGAGCCATATTCATAAATAAAATATTTAAGGAAAAACAGCACATGTAAACACACAGAGGTAAGTAGGTTTTCATTAAACCAGGGTGTTGTATCGGGTTTCTTACAAATTTATTTCCCCTACAT